CCAGGAGCCTCAGGGTAGAGTCCTAGCAGCCTATAATTAGGGCTTGTGGCTTTTGCTCTCAGGTCGATGCTGAAGAAACAGTACTTTGTCTCTAGCATAGAAAGGTAACCATGGGTCATGGAATAGAACTCTCCCTCCCTGTGACGTTTCTCATAGTTGCTAGCAGAATTAGAATTCAAAAGAAGATGAGAGATCGCTCTGTGATTTTATCCAGTACTAACTGTGTTAGGTGCAGGTAGACATTTCTAATAGATGAAGGTAGTCTTGAGGGTCTCAGAACTTGACTAGACAGTAGAGCATGGTTGGATAAGCTACTGTGGCCGGGTGGTGGTGACGCCTTTAATCCTGGCACTCAGGAGGCAGAAGCAGGCGGATCTCTGTGAGTTCAAAGCCAGCCTGGTGTACAGATTAAATTCCAGGACAGCCAAGGCTATACAGAGAACCCCTGTCTTGAAAAACCAGGGGGGAAAAAGCTGCTGGATCTGAGAAGGGGTGTTAAAGTTCCAATGTGGTTGAATGTTAAGGGAAAGCGAGCTGCATTCATTCTTGAGAAACAAAGGTTTGTGTGTGCACGGTGGCTGGACATGATTTTAACTTGCCACCACTGCCAGCCAGGGAGGGGGCTGCACTGCCAGGCTCTTCCTCTCTCTATAACTGAGTATCACCAGCAGGTTCTTAGGCATATTAGAAATCTGAGCAATCCAGCCATGCCTGCTTTGTCCTCTCTTCTACACTCCAAATAGCCAGGAGGTAGGGGAATAGTGTGGCCTGTAACCAGACCCCTGCACCAACAGTCATTCTTTTCCTTGTGAGTCAAGTTAGTGAGATGATACACAGTATCTGTCTGTAGGAATGTTACCAGTATTGTCATACCCTCCAGTGTGTGGTGGTAGGGCGTGGCTGCTTCACTTCAGAGAATCACACTTGTGTCCTTCTTTTTAACGAGCTTAGCACATATGCTGTCTGGATTCTACAGTTACCCCACTCTGGTGTGGCAAGACTAGTACAGATTGCAGCTGCCTTGTGTCATGTGGCTTGGATTTGTTCCTTTGATGTTTGACTCTAGACTATAATTAAATAGAATATTGAGTATTGCCCTTAATCAACTAGTTTAATCAGCTTTTTCTTTCTCTTATTTTTGAGATTATAATAATAAACAACTTAATACAATTACATCATTTCTCCTTTCCTCTCTCCTGCCTCCAAACTTGCTCTCAAATTTATGGTCTTTCTCCCCATTAATTGCTGTTACATACATATGTGTATATACATATATATTCCTAAACATAAGCTGCTCAGTATGATTGTACTTGGTACTGGATAACCAATGGGTGTGCCCTTCCCTGGGGAAGACTGTTTCTCCTGTTCTCGGCATTCCTTCATTGCCTGTAGTTCTGTGTTAGCATGTCTTTTGTCCTTGTCCAGCTCACCCTTGGGCAGTCATGTTAGTGAGGCTTTATGTACGTCGCTTCTGATATAACCATTGCTTCTTTAATGCATTTGGGTTTCAGCTTTAGTACAACTAATGAGTAAAAGAACAAAATACAGGATAATTTTTTTCTCATATAGTTTTAATTGAGATGCAATTATTATACCAATATCACCCTTTATGCAATAAATAAATACAGAGTATATAAAATTACTCTTGATGTTGCATAGTACATGTGTTTTTAGTATTGTTCAGGCAATACTACAATATAACCTTTGAATGTTTTCATGCCACAAAACTCAGACTTCACTTTCCTTCCATAGCTCCTGGTAACCATGCTTTTATAATTAACAATAACAAAGTTAAGAAAATATGTTGGCTGACACCTGCAGGATTTGGAACCTTCATACCTGGGGCTGGGAATGTGCAGTGCTCTGCTGCTTTAGAAACAGAGTTTGGCAAAGTGTAAAAGGTGAAAGCAGGAATACTTTATGACCCAACAATTCAGCTTCTAGGACTGTACCCAAGAGATACAGGACACATGTTCACACAACATTCTGTATGTGAATGCTCATAGCTGTATTATAAAATTGTCATAAGGTAGGAAAAAACTCAAGTTTTTATCAACAGATTAATAAATACAATGTATTTATAAAATAGAAGGTGCTTATCTATAAAAACAATAGCCTTCAGCCAAGTGTGGTGGCTCAGGCACTTTAATGCTAGCATTCAAATGACAGAGGCAGGCAGATAGATCTGTGAGTTCCGGTGAGTCCCTGTTTGAACTCCTCCTCACACACACAAAAGGAACAATGAAATACACATACACGACATATGTGCTTCTCCTCCTGCCTGGAGGTGGGGGGGCTGTTTCCCACCAGCTCACAAAGACAGGAGGAGTAGAAAGCACAAAGCTTGGAAGGCCAGCGCACAGGACTAAAATCAGACACTGCACTTTGGGAACCACTTTAGGGATGTAGTTCAACTTTAATACCAGAGAACAAAGGTTATATATCCCTCAGGGAGTGGGTGGGTAGCTCCAAGGATAGGTGTACATAATTGGTTAAAACCATGCACTTCAAGGATGCTTGACTTGCATTAAACAGCATGCTGTCATATGAATAGGAACATAGCACCTAATTCTATATGCACAGGGAGGAGAGAGCTAGCAGGGAGCTGTGTCATGTCAAAGGCATCAAATGTGGTTAGCAGTATCTATGTCTGAGACATAGACCATTCTTGACATTATTTTGAACCCAAATAGTTAGAAGTGTGTTTCTCTCCATTTATATGAAATTCCAGGGTAGATATAGAGACACTTGAACTTTTCCCCATTTGTAGGTTGCCTTTTTTTAATTTTTAATTGTCTCATGTATCCCAGGCTGGCCTTGAACTATCTGTGTAAGTAAGGATGATCTTGAAACTCTGATCCTCCTGCCTCTGCCTCCTGAGTGCTAGGATTACATATATAAACAAATATCCCTGATTTATGTGGTGCTGTGGATCAAACACAGGGCCTTATGCATGCTGGGTATTTTATTACCGCAGAGCTACATTTCAGGCCCAGCTTTTGGCTTTTTTGGAGCAGAGTCTCAACATATAGCATTCTCAAGCATGAGAGTTCTTTTCTTTCTTTGAGGCAAAGTCTCATATCTCCGAGGTTGGTCTCAAACTCACTTGGTCTTTTTGCCTCTACATCGTAAATGCTGGGTCATAGGCACAGACCACCCTTCACACTAGGGAGAATGTTTAAAACTGAGAAGAGATAACCAAGCCTGGCCCTCCCTTCGCTCTCCTCCCAAAAGATGTGTACATGACATAGAATTTTCTATATATACATCATATCCTCTATGTGTGATAGTCTGTTCTGATTTGGCACTTCTTTTCCTGCCCAGGGAGACATTTTTGTGGACTATTCTGATTCATGAGGGGAGATGAAACCATTGGCCACATAGGCACTTACTTTTTAGTGTTTCCATTATTTTAAACCATGTTTTGTTAAATCTTTATGTCTAAACAAGACCTTGTTTTCCTTGTCCCTTTCCATGTCATATCTCAAAAGCAGAATTCGCTGTTTTGGCCTCTGAGAACTCCCACTGGGCTTATACCCTCAGCGGAGAACTTTCCCTCCCTCCTTAAACTCTTGCAGTTGTTTGAGGAGTGAGTTCCAGGACAGCCAGAGCTGTTACACAGAGAAACCCTGTCTCAAACTCTTACAGCTGGAAGATCTTACCCTTCCTTCTTTCTCTTTGGAAAGTAGGAAAACCCAGTCCCACGTGAAAGAAACACTGTGCTTCCTAGGAGAAGCATGCAGCAGTGTTTAGCCAGAAGGAGGGCAGCGAGGAATAGGAGGAAACGAGAGAGAAACATGGGGGTCAGGCGTACTGTTGATCTAATGCCAGTTCCTGGGAGCCAGAGGAGAGATGGTCTAGAGCAACTGAAAAAGCTATTCTGGTGAGAGTGATTTAAACAAGAAAAAATATGTACAGACATACAATTTTAATTTCTTATGTATGTACATGCTATTAGTGAAGAAAATGTCACCACTGTAACTTTACGATGCTCTGGCAGTGCTCAGTGTATACAAACCTAGATTCTAGCAGTAGTTCTCAGCTTTCCTAATGCTGCAAACTTACAGTTCCTCATGTGGTGAGCCCTAAAATTAAAATTACTTATGCTGCTTCTTCATAACTGTAATCTTACTACTGTTATGAATTGTAATGTAAATATCTGTTTTCCAATGGTCTCAAGGGATGCCTGTGAAAGGATCATTTGAACCCCCAAAGAGGTCACAACCCACAGGTTGAGAACTATTGTTCTAGATACTCAAAAAATTAGTTGGAGAAAGCCAGGTGTGATAGCAATCTCTCCAACACCCCCTCCCTAGTCCCCCATTTTCTTAAAACAGGGCTTCTGTGCAATAGCCCTGGCTGTCCTGGAACCTGGTCTTTGTAGACCCAACCGCCTCTGCTTCCCAAGTGCTGGGATTAAAGGGTACCCTTTCTACTCTAGGACTACCCAACCTCTCTGGGTCGTTTACTTTCCTTCAGGTGTGGGTGAATATTCTTAGGAGTTGCTTGTTCCCTGCGGGCAGGACATTCCAGGAAGAGGAATGAACATGACTTGGAGCTCTTCCCGTAGCTGTGCTGGGTTCATGTGACAGAGACTGGGCAGTCCCCAGGCAGGTTGTCAGCTGAAGCTGTTTGACTCAGTGCCACACTCTTGGTTTTCTGCTCCCAGAGTTTAACCTCAGGTTACCCTTAGGAAGGGCAGGCAGGTTACTGGGGTATGACTCAGCCCTTGTACTTTCTACTTTTTTCACTTACTCTTAATTCTGCCTATAATCCTAACAAAGGCAGGCAGGTTTCTGGGATTTGAGGGCCAGTGAAGGCTCTGTAGTGAGTCTGCTTCAAATACACACACGTTCAAGACGTAGAGGCTCTGGGTGTCTCTCATCTCTAGTGTTTGCCCAACACATGGGATCCCCAGGTTCAGTCCCTAGCTCTGTGTGTGTGTGTGTATGTTGTGTTGTATGTGTGCATTCATGCACACGCCAAAAACTCTCAGGCAGTACAGCCATATCCACTTTTATTAGGAACAAATACAATCTCAATCAGTACAACTAGGCTTCAAGAGTTGATATTAATGGAAATTAATCAAAATTACCCTTGGGTCACAAATAACTACCCCACATAAAAAGGAGAAACTGTCATGCAGGCGGGGTTCCCTGCACCGTTTTCGTGGCAGTGAGTAGGTAGTCTTGTACTTTGGTCATAGCCCACTCCTCCAGTGGGTTCTGTCAGCCTCTGGAAAGAGCAGTTGTAGACTAGAGATGGCATGAGTGTAAAGTTCACGGTGCACTCTGCTTCTGTAGAACTCATTGAGAACCTCTAATGAGACCCCCAAATGCTTAACAATAATTAAAAAAAAAAAAACAAAAAAACAAACTCTAGTCACCTCAAAACTGCTCTGTGAGGTAGCTATCAGTAGCCTGTTCTATCAGGACTTGCCCAGAGTGATAGTCTGTGTGTGTCCTCCAGATGTTCTGGATACTTCACGATGGTGTTTGAGACGTGGGACTGCCAGGCGCTGAGCACAGGAGAGACTAAAGACCTCATCTCTAGGGTGCGTTTGTTGTGAGAGGAAGGAGAGCAGCCAGTTGGCTAAGAGAGGCCCTGGCGCAAGCCAGCAGCAGATGTGGCTTTGCTTTGCTACCTTTCTCACCGGTCACCTGAGCTACATAGTGCCCAGAGACTAGCAACCCAAGGGGAAGACATCCCTGCCATGGCCTTTATCACATTTAACAACAACAGGATAATACAATTAAATACATTATTTCCACTTCCCATCAAATCCGAGCATTTACTAAAAACAGTCACAGGAAATATTTCCAAAATGAAGCCCATAAAAGATTTGTGCAAATCACTGTACTGATGGTCCTCCGGCCAGCCTCTTGCTTACACCGACTCTACCTTCAGGGTCTTAGGGTTAAGGGAGGGCATGAGGCTGGACTCCTCTAGATCAGGAAAGAGGTAAGGCATGCAAAGCTCTTAGCACGCTTATATGGAAACTGTTAGAACTCCATCTTCCAGAGGCTCTGAAATCGTCCCTTACCTAAACATTCCATTACACTCTACCTAAACATCCAGACACTGGGACCTCAGTCTGAGATCTCTGTGTATAGCTCTGTGTTGGGACATGGCCTGAATCAGATCCGTGGAGTAAGATTAGAAGAGAAGGAAAGCTGATTTTATTGTTCATGTCGTAAATCAGACACCTGTGACCTGGAAAAACAAAACCACCCCCAAGGCATTTCCAGAGGCTGGGTCAGCAGATCCAGTGATTCTCTATGATTTCCTACTTCGCTGAACAGCTCAAAGCACGTGCTCGATTAACACAGGAAGAAAGGCTTTTATCTGAGCAAAAGTGAACAGAGCATTTGGAGCCAGGCCTTTGGATTAGGCTTCAGGCACAGGAGAGGTTGATGGTTCCAAAATACTGATGTGCTGTTTTCTTCTACACTTTTCTATACCATTGTCTGCCCTGGGCTGTGGGATAGTGTTTGTTAGTTCATGGCACCTTAGATACCATGTTTCAGTTGAAGCTTTGCCTCCCTCCCTGGGTCCAGATAGCAGGACTTTTTCGGAAGTGAGGTCCTGGGCTCTTGCCAATGATTCTGGTGTTTTAATGGAGACACAGGGAACCTCTTCCTTTCATAAGCGTTGTACCACCACCTGCCTGCACGGATCAGCCAGAGAGGAAAGCATGCGGTCTACCTTGACCCACACAGAGAAGACCAATGATCAGCCTTCTCGTTCAGCAGTTACCTCGCCGAGACAACGCGAGCCTTTGGCCGAGCTGTTAACTCACAAGCCAGACAGCCACTCTGAACCAAGGATGTTGCTAGAGGGCCTACCAAGCTTTTCTGAGATCACTGTGGCGGAGGCACATAAGGGGTGGAGGTAGAGAGGATCTGGAGGCCTCAGGAAAGTGGCACCTGGCTCTGCTTGCTGAAGCAACACAGCCGTTCCTCGCCCATGAACACTGTGGGAGGAAATGTTCCTGGACAGCAGCAAGTCCTGAGTGCTCTTAAAACAGACAACTACCTGCCAGTCCAGGGAGAGAGAGGGAGCCAGGCTGGATGGCCACAGAGCAAAGAATGCCGGGAAGGTTCAACACCAGAGAAGCCCAGCTTCTACTCAATCCAAGGAGATTAGAGTAACAGATGGAGCCTACACCTTCCGGATCCCTGGCAGTGTGTTCCCCAAGAGCCTCATTTGGAAATCCTTACCGACAGATGCTGCCCTCAACCTCACTTCCTGTCCAGCCATGAGAGAAACTGGCAACCCAGTTGCCAGGATAAAACTCCTTTTATCCTTCAATTTTTCTTTAGCATCACTTTTTCCTAGTGAAATACTTTCCTGTTCCAAGTGAAGATTTAACAGGAAGATTTTTTTCTTCTATGAAGAAATCTTCATGTTACTAAAAGCTAAAACCATCAGCTAGCACAGACCATACATTACTCCTCTTCAGTCTGACGCTGACTTGATTTTTCCAGTCTCACCAAGCTCTGTGGTTCAGAGTACAGGCCCAAAGGAGGCATGCTGTGCGGAGGAGCCTGATCTTCTCTCTCTCTCTCCCACCCCTCCTTGCGGGCCATACCATTTTTTGCTAACTCCACTCTCTAGACAATCTACTTGCTTTGTATCAAATCAAGATCATGTTCCCATTCCATCAAGCAAAGCCTGCAGTGAAGTTTGCAAGCGGGGAACTTCCATGGAGGCTTTGTTCTGTTTCTAGTTTGAGGCAGCAGGCTCCAAGCTCAGAACAAGGAAAGAAGTATCTAAGAGGAAGGATCCTTATTTCAGATCCAGGCGAGTTGCCTGGGCTTGGGAGGTGACATGGACCAGCGGTTAGCTGTCTGTTCGCCTGGGAGGTGGTGAGAGAGGAAAGAAACAAAGCAAGATGCAATGCAGACAAGGGAACGAGCGAGGTGCTCATCACCTCAGCATCAAAACAGTACGTGTGTTGGCTTTTAATACTCTGTATAGAACGCTCAAATTTATGGTTATTATTCAAAACTGATGCGTAAAATTGTATATGCATTTATCGTGTATATGTTTAAAAATATATAGATTGTGGCATGGTTAATTCTAGCTAATTAAAATATGAATTACCTCACGACGTGATCAAAGCTTTCTCATTTTACAAGAATACTGTACTGGAATAGGTTAACATCCTGGTAGCATTATCCAATAGTTAATCAACAGGTTATTAAATCTCGACCCAGATAACTTTTGGAACAAGAACTCAAGAGCCCAAAACTCAGCTACTCTTGTGGCTCCCATCTCCAGTCCTTTTAATCCTGGCTAGGACAGCGGCCTTAGATACTTTCTTCCGGTCGTAAGCCAGGCCGAGGGCAGCCATGCAGTCGATGAAGAACGTGGTGAAGTTGACGTGCCAGCGGTACTCACTGGCAGAGTAGTCGTAGGGGAAGGCGTGATGGTAGTTGTGGAAGCCCTCGCCTGGAACAGAAGTAAGAACAGTTAGGGGAAAAGAAGGAAGGAAGCCCAGCCAGTGACAAGAGGCCGCCTCCTACCTCCTACTACTGGCTCACGGCGGGCTACTGACTCTGAATTTGATCCTGGCATCTGGGAGGTGCTGATAAAACTAAAACACTATGACATTCTCTGTAACATCAAAGATTCTGGCCGTTCCTAAAAATATTATTTTGATAGAGGAAATAAATTCTCTGGACTCAGGAGGGCTTGTGCAGAGGATAGTATGTTTTACTAGCTCTTGACAGGACTCTTCTGAGTGGGTCACAACGCTAACAATACAGAGCCCAAAGGATCTAGTGCCCTCGTCCAGGCCCCTCAGGCGCTACACATGGTGCACAGACAAACACACAGGCCAAACCTCCCAACACATAAAACACAAATACAATTTCAAGAAAACAAACAAACAAACAAAACACCGCTTGTTCTTTAAAGATCGCTAGTTTTGGCTAGGTGTGGTGGTACATGCCTTTAATGCCAGCACTTGCTGTGAGTTCAAGGCCAGCCTGGTCTACAAAGCAAGTCTTGGATAGCCAAGGCTACATAGAGAAACCTTGTTTCAAAAAAAAAGGAAAGTTCTGGGTGAGCACTTCCCTGCATCCATGTCTCAACATTTAACAGGAAATCAGGCAACATAGTAACAAGGGAGAGAAAAAGGGAAGAAGAGACCAGTGAGTAGCAACTGGAGCAGCAAGCCCAGAAATGCTCCAGGGAACGAGCGGAGACCTTAAGCATGTGACCCGAGGGAAGAAATTCAAGAAGATGTGAGAGATAGGAGGCAGCTGGTGGAGAACAGGGTAAGAAGAGAACAGGTCCTGAGCAGTGAGTAACAGCCAGACAAAGGAAGATGTTGGCAGCCACTTGGAACTCATGGTCAAGGGTAAGAAGAGAACAGGTCCTGAGCAGTGAGTAACAGCCAGACAAAGGAAGATGTTGGCAGCCACTTGGAACTCATGGTCACAAGGAAGGCGCATTGTAGAACAACAGAGGACACACATGACCCAGTTCAGATTATCCTGTGTCTATGAAAATAGCAGATTTGGATAGCATAGGGTTTGTGTCAAAATCGGTCAAAGCTGCAGCATACAGAACTGCAACAGGCACCGAGGCAGGTCAAAAGCAGACTCCAAATGGAAAGGAGGGCAGGGAGTTTTAGGCAAAGTTGAAGGTACTAGCGGAATGACAGGCATGGGTTTGTGAGCAGATGAACAAGAGCTTTGACCACCGATGAGCAGAGGCCACTGGATCCTCACAGGGAAAACCAGCGTGATGAGGCTTCTGCCACTTGAAAAGCAGGACAGGGGAGTGCAGAGACTGATGGCAGAACTACTTTCATTGAGCTGCGTCAGAACTGGAACCAGAGAGGAAGGCATTCAGGGACAGTCAACATCAGATCCCCACAGAAGGAGCTGACCAAACTCTGCTCCATCAAGGATGCTAAGGAGAAGTATGGAGCAGAAGAGAGAAAAAGAACAAGAGGGAGGGATGGTGGTGGGAAGAAAAAAGTCTGCCCTGAAGTGGACATCACTGCATGACCCATGTATAAAAGAACGGCATACAGGAGGGAAAGAAATACAAGCATGGCAACCTGAAGATTATTGGGCTAAATTATACTCTTGCATGTGAGCCAATAGGCAAGAGGCTACCGTGGTGACTGGGATGTGCTGAATGCTCACCCTGGGCTAATGCAGAGCTGCAGGCCTGCCAGGGGACTAGAAGAGGGAGACTCAGAGGCTCATTACAGGCAGCACTTAGACACTGCTTTACAACCTATAAGCCAAAGTAGAGTTACTTCTTGCCCTTTCCATTTTACATTAACTGCCGTTGTTTCCCTGACTCTTCATAAGGTCCCGGTTTTATAGTGGAAAAGCTGAACTACACAGCACTCATAAAACAGGTCATTCTGGTTCCTCTGGCTCCTAGACAAACGCCCCAACCAGAAGGCCCCTGGACATGGTCATGCTGGGGGCCCGTGGCTTACCCACGGCACCTAGGGAAACCAGGATGTTCTCCCGAGATTCAATGTTCTTGTCGTAGGGGCGGTAGCCGTAGAGGTGGGCGGCGCTGTTCACCAGCCAGGTGGCGTTGAGCACTAAGGCATAGCGCAGGAACGTGGCAACATACAAACTGTGCTGGAAAGTTTCGCCCCAGCAGTACCAGGGCACCAGCGTGGGCAGGATGAAGCACAGGAGCAGGAGACCAGGCTTGTAGTACCTACATGGGAGAGCACGCACTGCATAAGGAGAGGTCCCTCACACCCGCACAAACTGTCCTTTCTAATGAGGTAGCATTGTGCCATTTTCCTGTCAGAGGAGGTTATCAGCAAGAGGAAAGATGGTACATCATCTCACATGCAGTGTTCTCTTCCTTTAGATAAGGGTACATGAATGTGCAGGTATTCTGAGATCCTATTGTGTGTCTCCAGTCACTTCTTGCCCTGACTACGAATCCATTACTTTTACCATAGGAACATAAGGTCATGCTGGATCAAATCACGACCTCATCAGCTAATTCTGCTCCCTGGGCTCTTGTCCATCAGCCTTTGAGTTCCTTTATCTTTTTCTTTTTTTTTAAAGATTTATTATGTATACAAAGTGTGTTTGCATGTACACCTGCATGCCGGAAGAGGGCATCTGATTTCATTTTTGATGGTTGTGAGCCACCATGTGGTTGCTGGGAATTGAACTCATGACCTCTGGAAGAGCAGCCAGTGCTCTTAACCTATGAGCCACCACTCCAGCCCTGAGTTCCTTTTTCTTGTTTGTGAGGTCTTTGACAAGTGCCACGCATTCATTTCCTGCTGTCACCAAGACACATTGAGTGTCCTTAATCATCTGTCCCTCTGTTCCATTCTTCATTCCCTACAAATCAAGCTGCTGACATTCCTTAGCAGTTGTGTCTATTACTTCTGTGTCACTGATAATCCCTCGGACTAGCTCCCTTCCATTCTGGTCACCATTTCCCTAGCCGTGACCCTGCCCGTTACCTCCATGCCTGCATCTCCGGAGCCCACCCATCTGTGCCCCAAGCTGCTGGAGAATGCCTGAATGGCTCCCGGAAAGCAACGGAGTCAATACTGATTCCGTGCTTGCTCCTGCAGCCCTGGCCCTTCACACGCTACATCTCAGAGATGGACCATGTTCCAAGAGGGGCTGCCTCAGCACTCAGTTGCAGCGTCCCGTCCACCACACTGCCAGACCACTGTCTTTGGCTGGATCCTGATGCTACTTTGCTAGAGTCCCTCGTTGTTCACCCGCTGAGCTGCATTTTTCCCTCATACTTACTCATAGTAAACATAGTATTATTCTGCTTTATGGGATCATAGTTGTGGCTCATTCCTTCAACGCCATATAGGCTGGAAATTCCTCAAAGGTAAACACTCAGCCATCTTTACCAGACTAGGATCAATGGTATAGCTAACTGGTTTTTATTAAGATGGCCCAAACAGAAAGAGCAATAAATTATGGCTGTGGGCCTTTTGAATGTTGAATAGGAAATTTAAGTGATTTTGAACTTATCAATCCAGTATATCATTCAGTTATCATTTTATAAGTCCTAAGAGAAAAGGTGGAGTTTCTAAACCCCAGGCGCCCTTGGCTCTCTCCCAATCACTCACTCACCTCCTCTGGAACATCACCAGCTTCTCGGCTTTTAGGTCAGACATGTCCAGCTTCCCGCCCTTCTCTTTGACAGCTGGGTGTTTGCGCACCAGCAGCCAACCCACGTGAGAGAAGAAAAAGCCCCGCCGGGAATTGTGGGGGTCGGCGTGCGTCTCTGAGAACTTGTGGTGGGCGCGGTGGTCTCGGGCCCATTCATACACATCATTCTGGAAGGACAGGAAAGAGGAACCCAGGAATGAGAAGAGATGGCCTCCTGGGGGAATCTAACGCCCAGATATCTTCAAGGGCCTAGGACAACGCAAAGTCCATAGGGCTCCAGCTCCAAAGGAGACCTTGGGGGCTGGTCTCTTGTACCAGCTTATTTGGCAAAGTCCCGGGAGCACACTGAAGATTGTGTGTGGGGGAGAAGGAAAGTCACAACACTCAAAGAACACTGCAGTTCTTGAAGAAAGGAATGTGGGGGCAGAGATCATGAGGCAGGTGGCCTTGGATCCCAGGGAGTCGCTCGCAGGGAACGCCACCCTGAGGCTTTCACAAGTGACAGCCCACCTAACCCGGTTTAAAGGCCGGCATGTCACTAATGAGCATGAACATTTCCCTAGGACCTCTGAACCTGTGTGGGAAACACTTCACGTATTATCAATAAATGAGAATAATTTGCTTCCCCACTGTTCTCTTGTAAAGCCCAATACCACAAATCATCCTGTACCCATTGCTCCAGCTAAGAGCTAAAAATCTCCCCCCCCCCAACTGTCCTCACTCTACATAAACCAACTTTAATATTCCTGACCCAGCCAACCCCGCGGCCTCAGATTTGCTCAGGCTGGTGAGTCTGACCTTTCAGGCTCAGCTGAGTGGTACAGCACACCTTTAGCCCCCGTGCAGGAGAAGCAGCCATTGTTACACAGTGGTACACGCCTGTGATCCCAGCAGTGGGAGAGGCAGAGGCAGGCAGATCTCTGTGAGTTTGAGGCCAGCCTGGTCTACAAAGCAAGTCCAGGACAGCCAAGGCTACACAGAGAAACCCTGCCTCAAAAAACCAGTATGATAACGATAATATCCACCAATATGTCCAGGAGGACTTAATGGGTTAACTCATTCCCAGTGCTTAGCAGGGCCCAGAAGAATTCTCCATTCTGGGACATATCACGGTCAGTGCCATTGTGGCAGTCCATGGAATATAAAGCACATCACAGTAAAGCATGAGTTCACTCTCCAGTGAGAGTACAGGACACCAGGGCCAAGGCCTGGACTGACTATGTAGCATGGCCCTTTAGGCAGATAGCCCAGATAGCATACTGGGTGATGCCATATTGGTTATGAAATTAAAAAATGATCCCCACTACCCACTCAGGTCACCCGCAGGGTGGAGATGCAGCTGTGGCACCAGCTTCTTACCTGGAAAGCCATGGTGTTGGCGATGATGAGGAAGACTCTCAGGGGCAGCCGGGCCTTGTAAGTCCTGTGGCTCCACAGGCGATGAGCCCCGGCTGTGATGCCCAGGGCACTGATGACATAATACATAATCCCTGCAGGACAAGACAGGTGGGGGAAAGGGAGTCACCAACAGGCAAATTTCAACGGTGGAATTATGTCAAGGAGGCGTCCCTGACGTCTGTGTTTGTCTTCTTTGGGTTTGGGTAAGGATCTGTTTCCCACTTAATCCTAAGAATCCCCGATCTCTAAGGCCTAATGGTGTTCGCCCTTCAAATGGGCAGAGCTGCAAATTCTTCCTGCAGAGCCCAGGACTGCAGACAGGAGCCTTGTGAAGACAGCAGAGACATCACTCTGAATGTCCCTCAAGTTGTAGGGGACATTCAAGGCATGCAGCTGAAACCATCACACTCGAATGCTACAGAAGGGACCGGGGCCACACCAGACGGTCAGCCCTGTAACAGTCATGTCAGCAGTGTCCTAAGGACAACTTGGTCTCCAGAGTTTCACAACACCCAAGGCTACACAGAGAAACCCTCAAAAACAAACAAGCAAAATGAAAACCCATAGCCCACGCCCGTCTACTTTACAATTGAGGGAATAGATGCCAAGAGAGGGTCACGAAACCAGCAAAGTAGGAACCCAACATCAGAATATTTTCCTGCTTCGTCGCCATCATCTGCACGCTTAGAAGGTACTCACTTTGATCTCCAGTGGGGAATGGGGTCCTGTGTGTACCCATCTGTTCTCTGACCAGCAGTGGGATGCTGGGACAGAGGCCTTGGTAGATACTGTTTTTGTGCCTAGGGAGTGGCAGCAATAACAGATCCTCAGGGGCCATTGACTTTAGTTGCAGTTGAGAGATAACACAAACTATACAAATTGTCCATATCCTTTGTAGCAGAGGTAGCCATTTCCTAAGTAGCTTCCCGAACCCCCCATTTTCCTGTTAGAAAATCCTTGTGAACCATAGGGTCGGCGGCTGTCCTAAGTAAACTCGAGCCGCATTCTTCCAGAGCTGGGATTGAGGGATTGAAGCAGCAGATGTCTGCTCCCCGTGATCATGTGGAACTTGATCGTCTTATGTACCAGATCTGACCACACAGTACCGGAGAGGCCCAGACAACCACTAGCCATCAACAGGAAGAAAGAGAGGCTTGGGGCAATATAGGAGCCCTCAATTTTGCACCAAGGAAGCATCCATGTTGGTTTCAGGCTGTAGATGGCTCAGGCACAGTCTAGACCACATATGCTAGCATCTCATTGGGGCACTGGGACAAGAACACAGGCACTCTGGGACATACTCTACCCACACCTCAGTGTCAGGTATATTGCTAGATCCCATCCCCACTCCCCATGGGACTATCTGCCCACCTGGTGGTAAAGGAATAGCCTAAAAGCTGTCTTGGAGTGGAGCAGTGGTAGTGCAGAGGCAGGCGGAGCTCTGTGGGTTCAAGGCCAGCCTGGTCTACATACTGAGTTTTAGGACAACCAAAGCTACACACAGAGAAACTATATGGAAAAACCAAAAAGAAGAAGAGGAAGAGTTGTCTTAAGAGGTTGGCTGGACCTGGTGTGATGGTGCACAGCTTTACTCCCAGCACTTGGGAGGGAGAGGCAGTCGGATCTCTGTGAGTTCAAGGCCAGCCAGCGGTAGAGTGAGGGACCTGTCACAAAAAAGGGGAGGAAGGGTGGGGGGGGAGCAGGCTGGAGACAACATGGCCCTGAGTGTTATCAGAGATCTCTTTAGAACTGGGTTCTCTTAGAGAATAAAAAGTTGAGGGAGACAGCCGCCTCAAGAGGAAGTCTGGGAAGCAGCACAGCTAACCTGAGAGAGACCTCCCCACCCCTGACAAAGCACTCCTGCCCTACTTGGTACTGAGAAAAACAGTGGCTCCTCTCAGATCTAGGGCAACTTCTAAGACGAAGCTCCGAAGATCAGATTGAACTGCTTCAAAGACCCAAGAGGCCCAGGGCAGGGGAGCCAATACCAGGCTAACCATTCTTTCACAACCTCTCTGAGAGAGCTGCCACGAAGTACTCACACCTGACCCTGCTCCAGAGAAACTGCCTACGTTTCTGGAGAGGGATCCTGCGCTGCCATCTGTAGCCAGTGGCTCTCCCGCTCCCCACCTTCCGGACTCAGCTTTCCTAAGTGAGAACACACCTAAAGTGCAAATCTATCCAAGAGGTGGTCATGCCCTCAGCCCACACCCAGTGAATCCCGGAGGAGCTTTATTAGGGCTGGGCTGCTGAAGGTTCTCTGCCAAGGAGGGGGCTGGCAGAGCTGGAGGAGGGCTGGAGTTAGAAAGTTTGGGGTCCTTGGCACTTCAGGGTCCCAGGAGACAAGACAGGAGCTTTAGATGAGGGAACAGAGTGAAAACCTTATTTCATTCTTTGAAGATCTTGTTGACTGGCTTGTGCTGTGCCCTGAAGAATGGCCTGGAGCACAGGAGCCACACACTTGTAGACTGGGGGTTGCAGAAGGCGGGTTTGAGGGCAAACCAGCTCGGTCTGGTCAGGGGTTGAAGTCGGAATAGTTGTGTAATTAACCTCCTTCTGTTCTGTTCTTTTCAAGGACCTCTCCAGGGCAGTTTCCCCAGGCTCCCAGGCTCTGCTCCCTGCCCTGGCTGAACTGAACAGTAGTCCACGAGGCCCCTGGCCTAGCACCTGATTCCCAGGCCTCCCAGGTAGGCCCGTTCCTCTTGGGTCAGGTGGGGCCTGCATAAGCAGCCAAGTGATCGCCTCACACAGAAAAGCTTGTTCGGAGGAGGTCGCTCCTCTGCCTCAGGCTGACCCCTCCAAGGCCCCCTCCCCCCTGGCACAGGGACGCAGCATTCAGGTTAAGGGCTGCCCAGTCCCGGAGGGAACCAGAGAAAAGGAGGCTGGGGAAATTTGGACAGAGGGGCCCCTGTCAGGATCCGAGGCCACCTCATTAAAGAGCAAAGGAGAAACCTGGCTCAAGACAAGGGGAGCTGCTCACCCCAGAGCCAGGTGTAGACCTTGCAGGAGGGAACCAGGGTGATCCCGTACAGGGCTCCCACGTGCAGCAGCGCCATGAGGATGATGTTTCTCCAGACGTACTCCAGCTTGGGCGGGGGCCCCTCCTCGTCCTGGTAGCTGGGGTCGTGGATATCTTCCTTCATTTCCGGGCGGATGTCTTCTTCCAGGTAGAGGGGCACCGTCTTCAGCCTCTCTCGTCCGTTCTGCAGGTTTCCGGAAGGAGGCGCCGTGATGGTGGTGGTGGCCGTGTAAGAACCGGAGATCTACAAGGGAAAGTTCAGTCAGGGGGCGGGCAGATCCGGGCGGGACCCTGTGTTGGGGGTGGGGTGGGGGAGGGGAAGGGTACCGTTTCCCTCACTCTAGAGCAGCAAAAGGTATATAGCAAAGGCACAGACCCTGCCCCAGAGCTCAGATGGCACGAGGGTGAGATGCTCTCCGAGATAGAGCAGAAGTTTCCAGAAACTACATAGTCGGTTTTTTTTTTTTTTTTTTTTTGGGGGGGGGGGGGGGTTGGGGCAAAAGGTGAAGGACCGGTAGATAGGAAGAAGGAAACATTCGCAACCCAAGTAACACACAAAGGGAGCCGTCCGTGCAAGTATAGGCGAGACTGGCTTTGCTTTGCTTCAGGCAGTGGTTCTCAACCTGTGGGTAACGACACCCCCCCCCCCAAACGGAGACCTTTTCACCAGCGTCGCCTAAGACCATCGGAAAGCAAAACCGGCTATAAAGTAGCGACGGATATAACTTAATGGTTGGGGGCGGGGGCGGTTTCACTAGAACACGAGGAGCTGCGTTAAAGGGTCTCAGGTTGGAAGGTTGAGAAGCACCGCTTCAAAGTTTTAAGACACGAAAGTTGGGACTCCACCGCCCGCGTTACCATCCGCACCTCTTACTCGGCTGATCGCACTACAATTCGAGAAAGTGGAGTAGTCCGGGGAACTCCTAACTTTCTCCTCCCGGGACCAGGCACCTCGCACGCAGCCCAGCCGGCGTGGCGTGCACGCGGCGCGGGGGCCGCCCCTGGAAGCTCACCTCTTGGAGCATGTGGGCCGGCATCGTGGCTGTGGGCTGCTGGCCTCACTTTCCCAGCACTGAGACCGAGGGCGGACTTGGGTTCCGGAGCCCGGGACGGAGGGCGGTCGGCGGCGCTGCGTTCGGAAACCTCCGCTCCTCTCCGGCGGGAGGGATGGGTGCTCAGCCTGACCTGGCTGTGCGCAGACCTTCCCGGGCTGGCAATTTAAAGGCCAGAGCAGGCGATGGGATGACCGTGTTCAGGATTTCCTCAGACACCTTTTGTCCGCTGCCAGCGAAGGGTAAAGTGCGCGGAGACAGCCAGCCAAGGAAGCCGGGCGTGGAGGGGAGGGGAGGGACTAAGGAAGGGAAAGAAAGCCAAGTGGATTCCGGAGTAGACCTTCGAGGCGCCGGGATGCTGCAAGCATCGACACCGCGCCGCTCCAACCCCCTGCCTGGGGTAAATGCTAATGCGCCTCCTGTGAAGACTGTCTTGTCATTGGCCAAAGAGAATTTGGTGCCACCTCGGCCAGCCTCTTCCATTGGCTAGGCGCAATCTGCTGTTCCCTCTGCCACCAGCTCCTCGCACTCCCCTCCCCTCTTTTTCTCCTTATCCTCTTCGCCTTGGGCTGATGGGTGACTTTTCTTTAAGAGGAGGATAACGAGGTCCTGTGTAGGGGTTGTGTACACGCCGAGGATCGTCTCCTGGCGCTTAGCGAACGGTTCGCCGGGGAAGTTGCATCAGGGGAAGTGAGGAAGTCAAGGTGGCTGCCGCCACTCGGTCCAACTTCACATCCACCCCCACTTCCAGGCACGTGCAAAGAGGAGACTGCCCCTACCCCGGAGAGGGGGCCCGGAGGGTGCGATCCGTTTCTGATATCTACCGCTCAGGGCTCTGACTAGGGGAAGCCGTGGTTTATCCCGGCCGCCAGCTTTGGGATGCTAGCCTCAGACGGCTGCGGTCTGGAGCGCAGCGAGCTCACGCACACGGATACACAGCGCGCTCACCCATTGGTCGCAATCTGCACTGGCCCGCCTCTGCCAGGGCCGGAGCCCAATCCTATCCCCACCTGCGGGAGCGGGTGGTTTGAGAGATTCTTTGATCGCCAGGCTGGAATTTGGGGATCTTCCAGGGAAAGGGACTAACGAGGCGATCTATCCAACCTGCAACCAGTCAGAGGGCCTGCTTGTGCAATAAGACTAGAGGCAGGTACTCAGCACGCGCCTAACAACACGAGAATCGTTTTGTTGAGCTCACACCGAGACCCCGAGCAGTGGGTCCTCCTCGGTATTTGTTTTTATTGGTTTCTCTTCAGACAAGGGTCTCTGAAGCTCTGATTGTCCTGTACAGTAGACCAAGCTGCTCTCGAGCTCATAGATCTGTGTCTGCCTTAGTGCTGGGAGTAAGGGCGCCGCCACCACCACACCCAGCCCCTTGGTCTTTTTAAAGGGGAAGTAAATGGCCATGATTAGCCAGTAGGTGGTGGAGCTAGGACTGAGAACAGAATGGGTGGCTGCCCCAGCGTTTCATTTTAAAAGTCAGGCGTCACACTCCTTTGATCCCAGCACTCAAAGGCAGAGGCTGGATGGCTGTGACTTCTGTGCAACCTGATCTACGTAGTGAGGTTTTTTCTTTTCTTTTCTTCAGTTTTCAAGACGGGGGTTTCTCTATGTAGGCCTCACTGTCTTGGGATTTACTTTGTAGTCCAGGCTGGCCCCGAACTCAGAGATTTCGCTCTCCTGTGCCTCCCAAATGCTGGCAAGGCCTGTGCCACCGTGCCCAATTTGCACAGTGAGTTGTAGGTCAGCCAGGGTTATACAGACCTGTTTGACAACAGTCAGGTATTCTGCTAGTATTCCTCACGTCTGGGGATATTACCTGGACTAAACTGTTTAGACATTCATTGCCAGACAAGGTAGGGCAGGCCCACCAGGACCATTCAGTACTCCAAAAGCGTTGGGGGCTAGGAGAGGGAGAGAGAGAGAGAGAGAGACGCTCATTCCAGTGTCAGTAACTGAGACAGAGTGGGGACTGGCTCAACCCGTGATGTTATCACACGCTGTAACTATGACACCCTTCAGGAGCACAAACTCCAGGAGCTTCCAGCTGCACACACAAGACCGCATGGGAGGAAAAATACTGTGGCAAGGGCGCAAGCGTCGGTACCAGGGATTATTGGGCCAGTGACAAGTTAGAGTGTACAGATATGATTTGTTTACAGTACGTATTTTAAAAACATATTCGTTTTTATTTTATTTACCTGTGTGTGTGGGTAAGTTACCTGGGCCCAGAGGTGGGAGATCCCCGAGAGGTGCAGGAACAGGTGGTTGTGAGCTGGGAAGTGAATGCAGGTTCTCTGCCAGAGCAATAAGGGTTTAAACTCCAGAGCCATCGCTCCTCTTTACAATGTAAATCCCAGAACTCAGGAGGCTGAAGCAGATAAGACTGAGTTCCAGGCCAGCAAGGGCTACATATTGAGGTAGGTCCTTTCTCTAAATTAATAAAATAAAATAAAATAAAATAAAATAAAATAAAATAAAATAAAATAAAAGTTATTCAGCGGTATTTTAGTAGAGAAGAAGGGAAATACAAAGTCAGCTTGGAGCTGGAGATTGGCGTTGGAACATTACTCTAGGCACCATGACATTTTTTTTTCAAGACAGGGCTTCTCTGTGTAACCTTGGCTATCCTGGACTCACTTTGCAGACCAGGCTGGCCTCAAATTCAGTGATCTGCCTGCCTCTGCCTCCCGAGTGCTGGGATTACAGGCACTGTGTAATCTCAGGTGATGGGTTTTAAACTGAAAAAAGAAAACAAGCAAACAAAAAAATTCAACCCATTTATCGATTGTCAGTAAACAAGTGGACCTTAGCAAGAATTTATAGAAATGGAGGGCAACTCATTCAGTCCTTTAAGTCCTTTCATCAAGTGGTCTGGGTCCATTTATTCAGACAAGACCATACATATGGAGAGGGCAGAGCTGGAAATGCAAATGCATCCTGGGAAAGCAGCCCCTAGATCACTGCCGGTTCTCTGGGTGCCTCTGTCCCACAATGCACCTGGCCAGCTAACTGCTGACCCGGAGGGGTGTTTTGAAGAGGACAGTGTTGGATACCCATTGCCCCTCACCCACTGAAAAACTGAAAAACTGTCACTACTATTGAAATGAATATAATCTAGAGTTGAGCGGTTTGTCTGTTTCACCCACCATTCCATACTCTTTTTTTTTTTTAACATTAAAACATTTAACATTAAAAAAAAAAAAAAAAGCCCTGGAGGCCCTCATTGCTGGAAAAAGAATTGCCTTCAGCTGATCACACGAGGCTGTTTTTATTCTATTTCTCTAACTAGGAAACTGGTTCCCTTTAGAGCAGAGATCACCTCCCATTGGAGGCCCTAGGCATAACAGAACTCCCAATTGGCAGTTGCTAGAATTGGCATTCTGACTTGGATTAGGCATTTGTTTCATCATAAGAGAGCAAATTTTCGCAAGTTATGAACAGAAAAAAAAAATTAGTCTCTTTAGGCTTGTATAGAGTGATAAAAATTTCAAAATAATAAAAAAATTAAGGATTGACTAGAAACTCATGATACAAGAATTATAGTCAGCAAATAATTGACAAACATTTGACTTTATTAATTATTTGAAAGGTATTAGTGAATGTAGTCTGTTACTTTTAAAAACCTGACAATATTCAATTTTGGGGAAAATGACAAGTTTTCTGATTTTTGTTTTTTTTTTTTTTTTTTTTTTTTTTTATTTTTCTTGCCTCTGCCTCCCAAGCGTTGGAATTAAAGGTGTGTTTCACCACATCTCTTTGAAGATTTATTTCTATTTTGTGTGTGTGTGTGTGTGTGTGTGTGTGTGTGTGTTTGAAGGCCCACCTGTGAAAGTCAGAAGAAAATACGTGAGAGCTGGCTTTCTCTTTCAACCATGTGGGTCCTGGAAATCAGACTCAGGTCACTAGCTTCAGCAGGACATGCCGTTATCCACTGAGCCTTCTTGCCAGCCCATCTGAAAGAGTCATAAGTGATTATTTCTTCATGGTGCTGGAGAATCAAATCTAGGGCGTCCTCTACCCTAGACAAGTGCCCTGCCGATGAGCTACTCCCCAGCCCATTGGACAATATATTTTCTGAAATCCTCATACAAGCATATGCAATAAACACTGCAGAACTATACAGTGTATACCATAGCTATGTCATAGATCTGGGGCCTTTTTGTTTGTTGGTTTGTTTGTTTTGTTTTCCTAGACAGGGTTCTCTCTGTGTAGTCCTGGAACTCACTTTGTAGACCAGGCTGGCCTCAGACTGACAGAGATCTGCCTCCCTCTGCCTCCCTGAGTGCTGGGATCACAAAAAAGCCCTGTTGAAGATTATTTCATGGATGGAGAGATACTCAGCAGTTCAGAGCACTGGCATCCTCCCAGGACACCTCAGCTTGATTCCCGGCACCCACATGGCAGCTCCACAAACATCTGTTGCTCCAGTTGTAAGAGATTCAGCACCCTCTCCAGCCTCCTCAGGCTCCAGACACATGCATGGTACATAGACATACATGCAGGCAAAATATCTGTACATAACATTAAAAAGACAGTGTTTCCAGGAGACGCATGGAGATGGCTTTCAGGCAGGTGGCCAGGCCCTTTGACAGTGGCAGCCAATCAGAGTGGGGTGGGGGGATGGAACAGGGGTACGGCAGAGATTCAGTAGCCCACAAAACAAAGAAAAATTTCTTCTCCACTTATAGACATCACAGGAGATCTTTGAGCTCAGAGCCCTGAGCTTAGCACATTGCTGAAGGTACTGAATAGGGTATGGGGCCATACTTTGAAAAGATTTTATGTGTGTGGGTGTTTTGACTACATGGATAACTGTGCGATATGTGTCTGCAGTACCCTCAGAGGCCAGAAAGGAGCACCAAATGCCCTGGAAGTGGAGTTGTGGACTGCTGTGAGCCTCCGTGTGGGTGCCGAGAATGGAATCCAGGTCTTGCACAAAGCAACAAGTGTTCTTAACTACCGAGCCATCTCTTCAGCCCGAAGGTCACAACTGAAGAAGCTAATTCTGGACCAGGTTTCCAGGTGCCGTAGTACATGCCTTCAATTCCAGCACCCAGGAGGCAGAGTTTGAGGCCAGCCTAGTCCATGACCTACATACAGCATGAGACCTTGAAAAAACCCATTCTGTTATTCCCAACCTACCTCAGGGCTGTACGAATTAGGACTTAGACCATTTAGGGAAGGTACTAGAGAGGATGGAAGGTGTGATCGATCGCCTCTACCAGGGAGCCTCCTTGATCTCACACCCCACCCACAATGGAATATTATTTGGAAATGAAAAAGAGGGAAAGGAAGATAGAAATAGAAGGCCAAGTGGAAGACACCGGTTGCCACAGACTGACGCTGTATGGCCTGATGCGAAACGTCCAGAGAAGGTAAACCTCGGCATTTATTACCACTGTTGTAATTTTTAGTTACATTTACCTACTCATTGTCTGTTTACTTACGTGTGTGTGTGTGTGTGTGTGTGTCTGTGTGTGTGTACACGGGTGCAATGGGGCACATGTATGGGCTGGAGGACAACTCGTGGAAGTCAGTTCTCTTCTTCTACCATGTGGGTTCTAGGGACTGAACTCAGACAGTCAGTCTCGACAGCAGATCTCACTGACCCTGTCATGATTATTTCTAAGTCTTATTTTATGTTTGAGCAGGCTCACAGGTGTCTCTGGCTGGCTCTGAACTCCTTGTACAGCCATGGAAGTCTCCCAGCTTCCGGCCCCCTTGCATCCATTCCCCAAGCTCTGGGGTTATAGCCTTGGGCCATCATTCCTGGCTTGCCCCGTGCTGAGACTCAAGCCGAGAACTTGGTGCGTGTCGGGCAAGCAGCCTCAGCCCCTCTGTTATTATTTTGCTTGTTTTAGAGAGTCTCACACTTGCGTGGAACTCATTCTTATTGCCCAGACTGAACCTGATCTCATGACAACCTTCTTCCCTCAGGTTCTCCAGTCCTTGGGTTATAGGAATGATCTACCGCCCCTGGCTCGGAATAAGAAAACAAGGAGAAAGCAAGCCAAATAATGGCAGAAGGGTCATGGAGCACGGACGCCGAGGACTAAGGAACACAACGCATGTCTGGGGGTGGGGGGCCGTAATGAAAACGTTTTAAAATTGGCTGTTATGATTAGCTTCGTGAATATACTAGACGCTGTCAAAGCTGTGTGCCTTAAATGAATAAGGTTACTCCACGCAGAAACTGTGTCTTTAAAACACTTCCTTTCAATCACTGCCACTTCAGCCACTGCAGATGCAGAGATAGTGTCCGTTTGTTCAATAAACAAGCACAGGACTGGTTAGGCAACCAGCTCCACGGAGCTGCCCATCCACAGTGAGCATGGCCACATGGCACTGCGATGATAGGTCAGAGCTGCAGAAATGCCCTCGTCAACCTGGACCTCTCAGGCTTTCTCGTGGCAGAGGGCACAGCGGGGAGGGAGAGGTGGGAGCCAGCCCTTCTCCTGTCCCGGGTCAGCCCTGGGCATTTTGGGGGGGCAGAAGAAGGAGTGCAGACCTCTGGGGGATGTTGGCTTTTCTCTGTTCAGTAATTCAAGCTGAATCCCAGGAAGCGGAAATCTGGGAGAGATGGTACAAGAGGGCTTCCCTTCCCTCTGCCCAGGCTTCCGGGCGAGGAGAGAGATGGAACAAAACCAGCCCCAGGGTCCCTATTCCCAGAGCACTCATTCGGCATAGGCTCCAGGTCAGGGACTCTCAGCAAAGCCCCAGCAGGTGGAGCTCAGCATGGAAGTCACATACTTCAGTGACACAGACTCCAGGGTAGAGACACAGGTCAGAGCAGCCCGGGAGAGGCAGGAAGACTTTATGGAGGACACAGCAATGTGAAATCCCAACGAGCCATTGGAGTTAGACCTGAGGAGCAGGTGACAGTCTGGAGCCTAGCACAGGTAAAGAGAATCTGACATCACACCACACTGGGCACAGGCTGTGGGCTAAAGAGGCTGGTCTGGTCGTGAACTGTGTGATGAGGCTATAAAGAGGTCAATGAACTTGTCCAAGCCCGTGGTTACCAGTCATGCGTCTGTCCACATGGCACAGGTTGCTGTCCCCAACAGCCCTCTCACTTCTCTCTCTGCTTCTTCTCTGTTCAACACAGAACTGGAGTATGTGTGTGCATGTGTACTTGTGTGTGTGTGTGTGTGTGATGCACATAGATATGTTTGCAACATAGATGTAGGGGCTGGGAGTGACCTCTGCTAAGCTGTGACCACCTACCTCTGGGCTCTGGTTCAGCTCTGTAGCCCAGAGTGGTTGTGACCGGAGCAACTCATGTCTCAGGAGCAGAGTGTGTGATCAAGGGCTGACAGCCTGCATAGCTGAGACCTGGGGACAAAGGTCTCCAAACAGGGCCACTGGCAGTGCTTTCTGTGGTGGCCCGATGCTCTCCTCCCAGGCCCCGGGTTGCTTCCTCCCTCCTGCGCAGACCTGCAGGGGAATCTCCCCCCCATTGCAGCACCAGCCTGAGCTGTGTGTGAGCCTGTGACCCTGGCTGACACAGGCTCTGGGCCTCCAGTGACAAACTATGAAAGGAGTGTCCTTCTTGTCCTGTCTTAATTTGGGGGGCTAAGAAGAGACATAAGAGAAGCTTGTGCCTCTGTTTATGATTAGAGAGAGGTACTCCCACTGGTTTCCTGAAGTAATCAAGAATGAAGGAGACGCTGGCAGTCCCGAGCCCTGGACCAGTGTCCCCCTTTCCCCCTTAGGTGCCAGAAACCAATCCCAGCCTTTGCACCCCTCCTCTCACCAGGTGGACCCTTGTCACCTCCATCCTCTTTTCCTCTCTGTATTTTTCTCCAAGATGCCTTTCCTGTCTTCATGTAGCGTCAGCTGCCACAGGAGCATGGGCAGCCAGCCCCCGTCCCTGTCTTGCTTCACCCTGCAGTAACCTCGCCGTACTAATGTCACCCTTGGTTTACACTCACACAGCACTGAACAGGCTACAGCAGTACTGTGAGGTCCAGGGGGCAGTTCGCCATGACTGAATCCCAGCTTCCCCTGAGCATTTCCCAGCCAGGAGTCTGTGATTCTCCCATCCTGTCCCTGGGTGCCAAGAAAACCACCCGGGGCCTGAGCACTGACGAAGCCTCTTCTGTGCCCAGCAGAAATCCAGTGCTCTGTGCAGAGCAGCTGAGCCAAGCTGCCTGCCACCTTGGGGAGCTCACAGATTTCTAAAGGACACAAAACAAAGCACAAAAGCCAGCTACACAGGCCAGTGCCTGACGATACAGGACGCAAGCTGCCTGAGTGGGACCAGAGCTTAGGCCTTCTCAACAGAGGAACCCTGAAACTGGGCAGCCTTGAGGTGGAGTGACGAGCAGCACTGTAAAGCTGTGCCCCGTGCTTAGCTCTGAGACTCCAGTTACAATCACCTGCATGTCACCTCTAGTTTTTAAGCCTCAGAAAAGTCGCTGAGGTTGGGGATGGCTCCAGTGGGAAGGTACCGGAACCTAAATCTGATAATGTGTGCAGGGACTTGGCACATTTTGCTTGCTACCTGGTTCTTTCCAACCGCAGAACAGACCTACTAAGTACAGTTGAAAATAATCACCAGGCCCAACTTCTCTTGGTTCCTCCACTGCTCAATATCCCACGGACACACTCCAGGCAGACACCCTTGTCTCGATCCCTAAGTAAGGGACGGGTTGAAAGCCCCCCCAGCCCAGCTACAGGCGTCTTCCACTCCCCTTTCCAACTTGCTTTGCCGACTCTTTTCCTGTCCAAGAGGGGAAAAAGACCCCCCCCCCCAGGCCTGCAGATTTGCCTCTGGAACCCAAGGCATGAGTGAGTGACCCTGGTGTCCCCAGGCCTGTCTGGGCTGCTCCCCGCCAGGGTCTGGCTGGAGTCCCTTTCCAAGTCCAAGATTATTTTCTTCTCTCTTCCCAAAGGGACTCTGGATTTGCAATGTTGTTTGCCTCAGACAGGCTCTTGCAGTCTCTGGTTTCTCTTAAAGCAGTGAAAGGTTTCCAGTTTGGAGTTCAAGGGGGACACTGAGGCAAGCGGTCGTTTTGGGTAAGAGATTCATTAGGAAGAGTGACTAAGGCCACAGACAGACAGACAGACAGCATGGTGGAGGCTCCAAGGCCGTAGACAAACAGACAGTATGTCAAGGGGCTACGGTGAGAACTTAGGCCTGTGTGGCAGAGTGCATGCATCCCTTTCTAAAGGTCTCAAAGGAGGGGGTGGTTGAGGAGTAGCCCACAGCTCTTGGCAGCCAGGCTGTCCTGGTTCCTGGGCTTTAGGAGGTGAGGAGGACATTCCTGTGGAGGAATAGGTGACTCTAAGGATGTGGGGTGGGGTTGACTTAGGGTGCACCCATCATACTGCTGGAGTGAGCCATCCTCTGAAGCCCTCTGCTGTCTAAGAGTCTGGCAGCCTGAGATCCCTGAACATCCCTGGGAAAGGGAGAATGATCACTGCCACTTGGGCAGTCACAGGCAGGCTCTGCGTGGGGTGTGTGTGTGTGTGTGTGTGTGTGTGTGTCGGTAGCCCTGAGGCTAGAAGGTGGCCTGTGACTGCAAACCTGACAGCCCTGAGGGACAGCTTTCCTCCCCAGCTGAGGACCAGCCCTTGGGGAGGAGCTGAGTCCACACTGGGGCAGAGTGGGGGAGTGGGGTGAGGGTAAGAGGTAGCCTCCCACAGCTTCCACCCTGAAGAGCACTCTCAGGAGCTGAGAGGGGCCTTGTGACCTGTTGGCCCCCAGGAAAACCCAAGCAGCCAGCATTCTCTTCCCCTAACATCCTCTTCACAAAGTTCTTTCCATAGTCAGGTGCCAGCACACTCTTCCTGGTGCCCGGTAACCACCTCCCTCTCTGCGTCACCTGTGGCTGCCTGTCATCTACTTGATTTTGCTTGTGGTAATGACCTCGTTGTTGACTTTAGTACCAAGTGGAGTGACCTGAGACCCTGGGTGTTCAGAAAGGGCATGGGACCTGAGGCCGGCCTGCCAGCCTCTAAGGCAGGCTGGAGTCTAAGCCTGGGGTGGGGTTGAGGGTAACGCTAACAGGAATTCACAGTTCAGGACTATGAGCAAGAAGGAGTCAAAGGCGGATGCAGGGAGAGCCAGGGCTGACTTGGTGAGTGGGTCTGGGTACCCAGCAGCAGGGTCTCCCATCCAGACAGGCGTGGGAGGCACCTGTCCTGGGAAGGAATTCAGCTGAGAAAGTGGGAACGGGTATAGCGCTTGGTGGACACTCCCAGGAGCCGAGGCTGCCGTACTTTCCAGCGGAGAGCACGGAGGACACCGGGAGACCTGCCTCACACACCTCCAGTTACAGGGAGAGCCACTGACCGAAGCGTTCACTCTAGGCCGCACTCTCCTTGATCGCTCTTGGCCCGGAAACAGAGAGGCCAATGAGGGAGGGGCGCAAGCCCAGTGCTGAGAGACACGGACTCTCCTGGTGGCCTATTTTGACTCCCTGAAGGTTTTAACAACCCCCCTTTGTTAGGCCACGCCATAGCTAACAACCATCTTCCTCACTCGGGGACAGACCTGAGCATCAGAGCTGATAGTCCCTGCGAACTCAACCCCGCCTCTTCTCGGAAAGCCTCGCACTTTAGTACCTCTCTGCTTGCCTCTCAGAGGACCCAGCTCCACCCAGAGGGCTAGCAGACACCTCAAAGGACCAATCACTGGGGGTCAGGAGCTGCTGGCTGAGCCAGACATGCGCTTTCAGCTACCCAGAGGAAAGGGGGTGGAGGTAAAGGAAGGAGCTGGGGAGAGAGATGATACCAGTTCAGGACCCCTTTGGAGAAGAGCCATAGTGGGGGACAAGGAGTGTGTGTGGGGTGGGGGGTGGGGGGGGTAGGTCCCTGCTGCCACCTGGTGGCCATGCCAGGCAAAGCACCGTTAAGGTCTGGTTGTGTGAACCAACCCTACTTTTTTTTTCCTTTGTATAACAGTCCTGGTTCTGAGGCTTAATTCAATGGGGAGCTATCTTTCTGAACCCCAGTTTCTTTATCCAATAGTGAAAATAGGTCCCATAAGAGTGTATGAGAGTTGAGCTTGAGAGACGGCTCAGCATGTAAGGTGTTTGCTGTGCTCCTCAGCACCCACGTGACAGCCAGGTGTGACCTTAACGACCACGGGAGTGGGGTGAGGATAGAGACCTGAGGACCCTGGGGCTCACTGGTTCTAGTTTGATTTCGATTGTTGCGATAAAGACCATGACCAAAACCATCTTGGGGAGGAAAGGGTTCATTTGGCTTACACAGGTTGATCATTGAGGGAAGCCGAGGCAGCAACTCAAATAGGGCAGGAGCTGAGGCAGAGTCTATGAATGGTGCTGCTTGCTGGCTTGTTCCCCATGCCTACCGAGCCTGCTTCTTATACAGCGCAGGACCCCATGCTCAGGGCTGGGACTGTGTTGCGGGCTGGGCCTTCCCACACCATTCTTTCATCAAGGAGACATCATACAGACTTGTCCAGCAGCAATCAGATGGAGGTAATTTCTCAACCAAGGCTCCTCTTCCCAGATGGCTCTAGCTTGTGTCAGGTTAGCAAAAACAAACAGAACATCCGAGATACCAGCCAATCAGTTTAGCTGAAACGGTGAGCTCCAAGTTCAGTGAGAGGCTCCATCTCAAAAACAAAGTGTAGGGGAATGATGACAGCTGATGTCAACGTCTGTCTTTCACAGTCATGCACATCTACACGTACGCACTCTTGTAAGCAACACACATACACTTATATCTAACACACACATATACACACTTGTATACAACACACACACACACACAACACTAACCAAGACAATATGCTATAATGTGCTTGGCCACTGGGTGACAAGTCCAGGGGAGACTGACTTCCTTCCTTCCTTCCTTCCTTCCTTCCTTCCTTCCTTCCTTCCTTCCTTCCGTCCTTCTTTCCTTCCTTCCTTCCTTCCTTCCTTCCTTCCTTCCTTCCTTCCTTCCTCCACTTAAACAGCTCATCTCAATGCCATCTCCCTCCAGATTTCCTTTGTGACCTTCCCACTCCCTGGTCCACTCACCCTGCTTCCTCTGAACCACTGTGAACTGCCAGCCCCCTCGATGTGGCTCTTGTCACGCTCAGCACACATTCCGCCATATTCCTCCTTCTCCACCTGGAACCTGCAGGGCGGAAGCCATTAACACAATGTCCCCACTGTGTGGAGGACTTCCACAGTGAGAAAGGAACTCCACGGTGGCCTGTTGGGCTGCAGATGTGACTCTGAGGCTAGGAGCAAATGAGCCTCTAGTCTCAGAAAGACAGACAGTTGCCTTGTCAGAGGTAATTGTTTTTCAAATATGACAATGTCAAATGTTGTAGGGGGAAAAATTGCCCAAGCTGAAAAGCACCTGGCATTATATTGCCTAGAAATGACCACTGCTGGTTTATTTACTTATTTTTGTTTGTTTGTTGTTTTTGGTTTTGGTTTTTTTGAGACAGGGTTTCTTTTTGTAGCCTTGACTGTCCTGGACTCACTTTGTAGACCAGGCTGGCCTTGAACTCACAGAGATCTGCCAGCCTCTGCCTCCTCAGTGCTGAGAGGCGTGTGCCACCGAGCCCACTGACCGCTGCTATTTTAAAATTCAATTTATTCTATGTGTTCATGTCGGTATAAAACACACATAAAATTTGACTCTGCTGCACTGTAGGAATATAACAAACATTATGTGGTGAATACTCATGACATCAGATATCATTCCAAACTACAGCTATGTTCTCCACAATCACTCATTTTTGAAAGAAAACTACATTGTACTTTACTTAACCTGTTTTTCATTGTTGAAATTTATCATCGAAGGAGAAGCTGTTGCTAACATTGCTGACAGAGTCCTAGATTTGGGATTGGAAGGTCGAAGAGATGAAGGGATAAAAGCCACCGCTTCTCAGTTCTCAAACAGAAACTGGATCTCCTATTGCTTTTGCCAGCTTGCCTCATTCTTTCATTGAATGTCTGTCTCTTTTCCAGGTTCTAAGGAGATAACCCAGTTTCGGAATGGAAATGAGGCTGGATTCGGACCTGGAGGGAAAAATCTGATGCAGGCATCTAGCTCAGCTCTGCTCATGTTCCTGTGACCATGAGGGTTCCTGGCTGCCTGAAGCCAGCCTTTACACTGAGCCTTGAGGATGGATCCCTTGCTTTGGTCTTAGAATGTGGTCTGCTCCCCTCTGCTTATCGGCAGCAAGCTCTCTGAATCTCAGGAAAACAGCTCTTTACAAAACAGGGCAGAAAATGGGTCTCTTAGCCAGATATGGTGGAACATACCTGTAGTTCCAGAACTACAGAACTACAGAAGGAGGATTGCTGTGGGCTTGAGGCTGGCATGAACTATTTATTTGAGCTTTTGGTTAGCTGGTCAAGAGGTAGCCTGAGCCTGAGGCTCCTCACTCCCTCCACCCACACTGTTTGCCCCTCTCCTTTTGTGATAGTAATTTGCAATTTAGCTAGATAGAAGTTAATTTAGGGCGAGGCACCTGCAGAGCAAATCATTCTGAAATTGTACTTCAGGCTGAAGCAACTTCACAAACACAGCGAACAGCTACATCACAGATTGCAAGATCACTCTACGCCCTTCTCTCGATTTTCTTTCCCAAATAACATCTTCAGACATGGTTCAAGTTAGGATTATCCTTCTCATATTTCATCCACTTTTCCTCATGGTCAGGTTCCAGGGTCTCTTAATTGGAAATATCCTGTCATGATCGGGGTTTTCTAAAAGGCTTCTGATGGCTTCTTTCACATCTTCAGTCTGTGTAACCTAGGGTTTATTGAATCCTGCTGCATGGTATATTTTTGAATACCATCCATCTTAGCTTGGCAACAGCCTACCATTTTGACCCCTGTTTACCCTTTCAACAGGAAAAGTCAAGTGTGCAAGAAGCTTGAGAGCTTGAAGAAATACCAGGCAAAACTGTCATGAGATTCCTCTTGGTTACCACATTTGCAGCTTCTTGACTAAGTTTGAACAGCGGAGGAATGACGGTGCCTTCTGAGATTGCTCAACCCACATCCTGCCCCATCGGGCAGTATGGGCTGATCCACACACCAGGAAACAGACTCAGTCCTGAGCCTCTGCGACTGGACGGGTTCCAGGTGGGTGACTATGAACGTGGTCTGGAGCTTAGAATGAGGACGCTTGTCACATGAGGAATGACCTCAAGTCCATTCAGACCCCTGCTGACCACAGGCCTCCTCCAGAATTCAGAATTGCCCAAGGGACAACCATGCCACATTCCTCTCTCTGCTTCTCAGGGACCACACCATTGCCCTCCCATTCCTGACCCCATCCCAGGGTCCAGCTTTGTAAGTCCGGAGTCCTTGTGTGATGGCTTGAAAGGCTCTTGGCTGAGAGCTGGCAGGTCCCTCCCTCCTAAGTCAGCTGATCTACTGCAAGATGCTCTGCCCTGGCCCAGCTCCTCACCCTTTCCTCCAAGGAAACAGACCACCTCAAAGCACCTCACTGGCTGCTACGGTGGAGAGATGGACACGTGCCATGGAGAGTCACAGTCCTCAGAGGCAGACCATGGAGGGAGTCACCCCTTCCCAGTGTCTGAGCCTTGGGCAGGAACTTCATGTCGAGGGTTCAGAGATATGACAGTTACCTTTTCTTCACTATCCCAGAACTGGACACGTCGATTTTTAGGTACATAGAATGAAAAAGATTTTGATGGAGACAGACACCCTGTCCTTTAAAATCCGAGATGGGGTTGACTTGGGGCCCTGTCCATTCCCCAGTATCAGGGCACTCCCACAGAGAGAGGGGAGTCTTTTTCTACACTCACTAGGGCACAGTTCAAAGTGACACAGAAGGACCTGGGTGACAATTGCTGAGCTGGTGGGGAGGAGGGGGAGGGATGCTCTTACTTTCCTCCCTGGCCGTGGTCTCCATCCCAGTCAATATTGGCCCCTTCAGAAGCTTGAGGTGGAAAGCAGCTTAGAACCTCCATGTTGTTCTTTCACACCCCATTTCCCAGCCCCTCCAATGATCCTTTGACTAGCTCTGTGAAAGTAACTTTTATTCTCCTGTTTCAACTGTTGTCTTGGAGGTTTACTGCCTCTGTGTGTTAACCTAGGCCCAGTCCTGAAGGCTTCTAGCCTCTGTAAAAACTAACCTAAGCCTAGGATGTTTTCAGTCTCTGGGACTTACTCCTTAAAAAGCTCACCCTTTTTAGTTCTTTCTGAGCTCTGGGCTGACTGGTTCAACTCAGCTGTTCTGGCTCAAACTCCTCTCCCAGCTGACTTATTCAATCTTGGCTTTCTCTTGGCCTCTGAATTGATCTGCTTGGCCTCAAACTATCTCCAACATTTTTTTCCCCTAATCTTTTGGCTCCTTCTTCTTCTCCGGCTCATTCTGTCTTCACCTTTGTCTAACTTGTTCTCTCATTCAACCTCTTTCTGTAAAACTCTCCTGGTAAAACTCTTCCTCTCTCTGCAATGTCCTTTAAGTAGCTTCTCTTTCCTCTCTTTTCTTGTGAGAGTTGGGCATATCCTATTCTGTCAAATCTTTCTTGGATTTGTCACTGTTTTCTGCCACTCAGTTAGATATCACTTTCAAACATGGCTGCTTCCTTCTACAAACAAACTTTACCTTCATTGTTTGTGACTAAAGGCATGTACCACCATGCCTTAGGCTTTTCTTTACCTGAAAAGCTTAGGCTTTTCTTTACCTGAAACTTGCTCTGTACCAAGCTATCCTTGCTCTCATATCTACTTACCTCTGCCTCCTGGATTAAAGGCCTGTTTGTATTCCAGCCAGATCACACAGACCTAGAAGATCTTTGGATATGCTCTCATGCCAGAGCAGCCATGTTCTGAATCAAAATTCTTCTATACATCTCTACAGTGGAATTTTTAGACATTGTACCCCAGGATCCATCCGGCCCCAGCACTGGCCTCTGTCTTCTGTTTCCCCTTATACTCTGTCTGCATAATACCCCCACTCTCCTTTCTTCGTGCTCTCACTTTTTCAAACTCCTAACTCCCAGCTTCTCACAGCTCCTTCCCTCCTGTGTCCTGGACCTCGAAGAGAGAGGGGACAGAGAGAGAGGAAGAGGGAGAGAATTAATGTCATCCCCTGTCCTGTCATCACTGTTCTATCCTCCAGATGATCTGTTTCCCCACACAGGCAGGCGGCAGAGCCTGCCCTCAGCTGCCATTTCCTTGGCCCTCTTCCGCCTGTGCCAGTCTAGGCCTTGTCCCTGTTTCTACCCTGAGAGTGGGATCCTCCTTCCCCATGAATGCTGTGAAAAGTCCCCCGAGGCAGGAGCTGCAAACGCTGGGGCACAGAGGCTGGAACAATCCCGCCCACAGCAGCCCCCCTTCCCTGAATGGGATCTGCACTGTCTTCAATGCCGCAATCCCCCAGCCTGTACCTAAGAAGCCTGAAGTCAGACGGCAGGAGACCCAGACAGCAGAGAACCCAGGTGCTGTCTCCATATATGTTTTTGCACCACAGGTTTCTGGCCAGGGGAGGGCTCTCCTGGGGTATGAGAATCTGAGGAGGCCTGAACATCCTTGTGGAAGACAGGTGATCAGAGGAGGAAGTGGAATTTTGGTGTCTGCAATCTGCCTGTGTTAGGGTAGCTTGCTCCAGGACAGAGGCCAGGCTCCTGGTCTGCCAGAAAGGTCACTTGGCACAGTCATCCCTTGGGGGCCCAGGGGTGGGGGAGCAGGAGGACTGAGGTGAGCGGAGCTGATGCCCGCCCCAGTCCAGTATCCTCACCCTGCCTCTCTGAGGGACTTTGTAGGAGGGCAGGTGGAGGTGTGGGTGTAGTAGCCAGGTCCCAGGGGCTATCAGGCGGGCGAGGAAGGACCGGTGGAGGTGGGGTGAGGTCTAGGGACGGGCAGGAGGGGATAACTAAAAAGATGTGCTGTTGGGGCTTCCTTCCACACCCTCAGGGCTCTGGGGAACAACCCTGACTGAGAACACCGCTGAGAACAGAGAACTCTACGTCAAGACCACCCTGAGGGAGCTTGTGGTGTACATCGTGTTCCTCGTGGACGTCTGTCTGTGTGAGTAGCCACTGTCCCGTGGGCCTCCGCCCGGGAGAGACTCGCGTACTCGAAATGGCTGTCCTGTTCAGGCAGTATTCGGCTGTGGGAGGCGGGTGAATCCTGGGGATTTTGTGTACACAACAGGCGATGCCTGTGGCTTTTTAGCTTACGAGGTTTCATTGAGAAAGCACTGTCACTGAGCTCAGTGGAAGAAGCTGGTAGAAAGGTGGTTAGTGAAGAGAGCTCCTCCCGGGTTTCCAGGTGACCCAGTTTGCACATTCAGTCTCGGATGCCGAGCCAGTAGGCACGGCTTCTTGCTGACAGGTGTAGTTTGTAGGGAATGAAGGGTTCCTCCCCCGTTTCTCTTTGGTGGGTTTTGAATGTTTCTTTACAGGAAAGAAGAAAATGTTTCAGGTCATAGAGGGTTCCTGAGAAGAGGGTTGGGGTTCCATAGTGTGGCAGTGCCCTGACGGAGAGCCTGTCCCACACAGGGAGCTGGGGCAGTCCCTGTCCCTCAGTCACTAAAGCTAGGAGCTTTAGTGTCTGAGTTCACAGAAGGTAGCTGGGGCAGTCCCTGTCCCTCAGTCACTAAAGCTAGGAGCTTTAGTGTCTGAGTTCACAGAAGGTAGTGGAAAGATCACAGTGTAGGCTGTATAGAGGTGTCGTCAAAGAACGGGCAAGCCAAGGAAGTGGGAGCGTACAGCGGCTGTTTGCCCTATAGGTGAGGGAATCGATGCTTTATAGAGTTGAACAGCAAGTGGTATTTGCCTCGAACAGCAAGAATTGTTCCGTTTCATGCATGATGACCAAAGAGGCAGCCTGCACCAGGGTCTCTGCCACTGTCCCACTACGTGAAGAGACACCACGACTATGGCAAAATCTTATGAAAGAAAGCGTTTAAGGGGGGCTTGCTCAGACTTTCGGAGGTTTATTCCATTATCATCACGGTGAAGAGCAACACAGACAGAAATAGAGCTGAGCCGAGAGCTGCATGCTGATCTGCTGGCTGAGAAAGAGAAAGAGCCTCTGGGCTTCTGAAACTTCAAAGCCCACCCCACAGTGACAAGGTCTCACCTCCTGATCCTTTCCAATAGGGCCACTCCCTAAGCATTTAAATATATGAGTTTATGGGGCCATTCTTATCCAGACCACCCACCTGCCGTGCTTTCTTTGTATATGGCCTCTGTCCGGAAGGCAGAAGATGAAGCATCCCTTCCCTCTGACCCCTCGATGTGGGTTTTGTCAGTATTCCACCAGCTCTGCTTCTCCTCTGCGGCAGATATTGGGCTGTGGATCCTTCCATGGTGGAGTCTTAGGCCTCTCCCCTCCCCTCATCTTCACCTGTCTAGAAGATTCTTCTGTTGAACCATCAACTTCCAAAGGCTTTCCAAAGGACCTCCTGAAGGTCATTTGTTCTCCAGTCTAAATAATTTCTATTCTGTCTCAAAAAAAAAAAAAAAGTTATTACAGCTGGGCATGGTGGTGAAAGCCTGTAATCCCAGCACTCAGGGAGGCAGAGGCAGGTGGATAGCTGTGGGTTTGAAGCCAGCCTGGTCTGCAAAGTGAGTTCAGGACAGACAAGGCTACACAGAGAAACCCTGTCTCAAAAAAACAAAACAAAACAGAACAACAAAAAGTTATTACAGCATGGTAACCAGAAACTGAAGGTTTGGGCTCTGAATTTGCACAGATATAGGTCCAAACATCACAACCCACCACTTACCATCAGAGGGACCTTGAACAAGTTGCTCCTCCTCCTCCTCCTGCTCCTCCTCCTGCTCCTCCTCCTCCTCCTCCTGCTCCTCCTCCTCCTCCTTCTTCTTCTTCGATGACCTTGAACAAGTTGCTCCTCCTCCTCCTTCTTCTTCGATGGGGTTTCTCTGTGTAACCCTGCATGTTCTGGAACTTGCTCTGGAGACCAGGCTGACCTTGAACTTGGAGATCTACCTGCATCTGCCTCTTGAGTGCTGGTATCAAAGGTGTGGCCCACAATCTCCTGGTTAACTTGCTTAACTTCTTTGAGTCAGTTTCCCCCCTATATCCATCGGGTTCAACAGGATTATGTGGTTATTTTGTGGGCCATTCACTAGGCCTGGCATGTTATGACAACAGTTCAGAGTGCTCACCATGCAGTTTCCTGTCTCAGCCATGATTAATTTAATGCCCTTTCCTGGGAATAATGTACCAGGGACACCTCATTACCACAGTGTCCTGTGACATCATTACTCTTGTTGTAATGATTTAGGAGGTCCATGAGGACATACACAGGAAAAGATAAGGAGGATGTAACCCCTGGAAGGGACAGGGAAAGGATGTAAGCCTCTGGGAGGAGGAGACAGCACGTGCTAGAGCCAAGTTTAGTGGCATCCCATCTGTGGATAAAGCAGAGACTGGGAGCAGCAGAGTACTGACCAGGACGAGGCTGGAGTCCTTGCGGAGTCTCATGTGGGGTTGATATGAAAGTAGACTTTGTTCTTAGGGCCATAAAAGGAGCCTCGAAGGGTTCAAAGCATAGGCCTGGACAGGACATACTTAAGCTGTACTTCTGGGCATTGGGTCAAGGGAGATCCCTGGGAAAGTCTAGCAGAGAAGACTAAGATCACATACACAGTACACATGTGCGGTGGACACTGAAACTGACCACCACAGTGGCCACCATGACAGAGTATCACTGTGGACACTACAAATGATAACCACAGTAACAGCTATGGCTGACCATCACTGTGGACACTGTTCTGATAACCGCAGTGACCATTACAGCTGCCCATGCCTTAGAGTTTCCGTTGCTGTGAAGGAACACCATGACCATGGCAACTCTTAATAGGAAACATTTAACTGGGGCTGGCTTACAGTTCAGAGGTTTAGTCCTTATCATGGTGGGAAGCATGGTGGCACACAGGCAGACATGGTGCTGGAGAGGTCGCTGAGAGTTCTACATCTGGATCAGCTGGCAGTAGGAAGAGAGGGAGGGGAGGGTGGAGGGAGAGTGGGCCTGGCTTGAGCATCTGAAACCTCAAAACCCACCCACACAGTGACACATTTCCTCCAGCAAGGCCACACCTCCAATAATGCTACTTCGCTATGAGTCTGTGGGGGTCATTTTCATTCAAACCACCACAGATCAATAGAGTGGACATTTCATCTGATCACTATAGTGTCCATGATGACTGCTCATCACAGTCACCTTGATGGCTGAGCATCACACTGGCCACTCCACCTGACTGCCACACTAACAGATAGAGTCTCTCTACATAGTCCCGGAAGCCATGTGTTGGCCAGGCTGGCCTCCTGCTTCTGCCTTCCTGAGTGCTGGGATTAAGGACATGTGCCATAATACCATGGTGGAATATTTCATTTTACTTTCAAAACTACCTTATCAAGCTACCGAATCAATTTAGTCAATCAAATTAGTATGGCATGCTGGTTAAATGCCTGGCCTCTGGAGTCAGCCTGTCTGGGTTCAAGGCCTGGCACCCCAGCTGTCAGCTGTGTGATCTGAAGGCGTTTGCTCACCTCTTAGCCCTGATCATTCATGTCTGATAAGACTATTGTGAAAGGTGAAACGGCCCATCAGTACTGTGCTATGCATTTAGCACCGTGTCTGCCTGGTACCTGGTGAATGAGCATGTTATCTTCCAGTCACAACAGACCCTGTAACCACACTGCTGATGAACTGGGCAGCCACGGGACAGGGCAAGACTTGATCTGAAGCCTTTAGCCATCTAAAAACCTGTCTCCTATGAACTGGGCTCTTGGTAAACCTCCTTCCCCTTGAGATTAAAGCATGTACCCATAATACTCTTATTCCCTGTCCCCCTTTTCTCTCCATCTTTGTCTTCTCTCAAGCAAATCTTCAGGGAACAGAGAGCCTTGAGCAGGGTCTCAGCTGCTTTGGCACTCTCTAACACTCTGGCCCTCATCTTCCTGGCTTCTAGCTCTGTTGGCATCCCTGGGCTCTGGTCTTCTCAGCTAGATATGAATTCTTAGTGAGGATGATAGAGTCCCAAAGGGGTCAAAATAGTTAAACATTACAATGGTTTTTGGCCCTTTAAAGGCCACTGCCCCAAAACAAATATCCCTCTGTGGTATTAAAATATGCCTGTGCAAGGGGTCATTGGGAAGAAAATGCCTAAGGAGGTTGATAACCAACTCTTCTGCCTAAGAATGGGTACAAGTCCTGGCACAGGACTTGCTTTGTCATGGTGCCGTCTTTTGAGACCTGGACGGCTCCGCCGGTGGCTATGCCTCGGTGCTGTGCTTGACTCTGAGAGTTCCCATGACTACTTCAAATACCTCAGGACATTAGAAGTGACTGTTACAATAGATCCTGCAATCAAATACAAAGATAAGAGCACCGTGTCCAGGGAAACTGGCTTCAGGTACTAGCTCTGCCACCTTGGGCACTTCCTCTCTGGTAGAACAAAGAAAAATACTTAGGGAGATAGCATGGTAGAGTCGCAGTCAGTTGTTGATCGTAACTATTTTTATGCTTTCTATTTTATGTTTTCATAGTCCTCACTTGGTCCTTTAAACCAAATGTCTAAATTTTGGGACCAAGTTTTTGTGGGTGGGTTGGTGTTCGCTTCCCTCTGCTAGGAGACTAGTCTGCTTAGAGGGTGTCCTCCTCAGTCTCTATTTCCTCTGCTTGAGTACCCTTCACATTCCTACAGGAGCCTACCCTGACTTAGGTCTCCAGATTGTCACAGAGATGCCCCCACCCTCCATTTCTCTGGTCTCTATAGGCTTCTGTCCTCTTGTCCTCACTCTCCCCGGGTCTGATCTCCACCCTCTTAACTCTCTGCACCTCCTCTCCTACCTTGTTCCCTCTTTTCAGCCACTACCTCTGTCTCTTCTATCTCCCCTTCCAAGTGACATTTATTCATCCTCCCTTAAACCCTCTGTGTTACTTATCTTCTTTGGGTCTTTGCCTCATAGTCTGCCTATCCTGTATTATAGGGCTAAAATCCACTTATAAGTGAGTACATACCATGTGTGTCTTTCTGGGTCTGGGTTACCAC